TTGCATTTTCCCCAAATTTTCATTTCATTGAAGGAGATAAGCTCCTAAATGTTCCACATCTGAGAAGAATGTACTGTTGTAGTGCTGCAGGAGGGATTGGTACCATCCTAGAGCCACTCTCTGCTGTTCCTTTAAACGATGAGTTGCAACAGGCAAGGGCATCAGTGGCAAAAGCTGAGGAAGATGTTCTCTTTATGCTAAGTGAAAAAGTATGGGTGAGATGGTTCCAAAATAATAGGTGATCATCAATAATGTCAATAATGTCAAAAGTTAGTACGACAGGGTTAATTTTGTGAATTATATTGTTTTCAGCGCAACCATTATGTTTATGGTGATTTTGAAGTTTAAACTTTTCGTTCTGAAGTGATGAAAAATTATAATGTTAATATTTATATGTAGTATATTAGTTGATGATATGATGTTAAATCATCACTAATCCTAAAATGTTAAGCTTTTAGGTCAGAATTAATATAGTCTTTATATCAATTAATAAAATTTTGAGCACTTTATCATTTCAAAAATTTATTTATTTTCTGTGACAGGTGAAAATGGATCTTGAAGACATTGAGAAACTCATTGACTGTATAATCAAATTAGATATGGTGGGTAATTATCACTACATCCTCAATCCCCTTTTCCACTTAATTTAACAATTTTGTTAATTTATGTTTATTAGTTTATCCATGAGCTTTCATATTCCCCTTGCCTTCCCAATTTCTTGGCCATTTCTAGATTTTCTCAATTATATTTACTCTCCTATTTGACCCATCCTTGTGCAATAAATGACAGCACTACTTTTGTAGATCTATTACTTAACTTGCAATTTCATCAGGTGCCTTATCTCAAAAATAAATTGTCTACTTAAAGGCACTTCCCCTTCACTTTTTAAGTTTACCTCAGTACTCATTAACCTGGGTTTTGATATATCTATTTCTGAATTTCTCTGCAAATATCACAATATCCCAGTGCTCCACTCTTATTTCTTAGTGGCCAAATTTTTTCCTTAATGTACAGGTCAATGCGCGAGCATCTTATGGTCTTTCAATTGGGGGGACATGTCCCGATATAATTCTACCAGAAGGGTGCAAATCTCCCATTGCTAATAACTGCTCGGGGGACTCAATATCTGAGGCATCATGCCTAAAGAAGAGCGAATGGGTGCTCTATTTACCTAATGCTCTTCACCCTTTACTACTCCAGCAATATAGAGAAAATTTGAAGAATGCCAAAAGGGATGTCAGAAATGCTTTTGATGTAAGCTATACTGAGTCTGATATTGTGGAAAGCAGTTATTTAGTAAAATGAGGCTATTCTGAGTTACCATTTCTCTCCTAGGAGATAGGGAGAAAACTTCCTGGGGGGAATACGTCAAGGAAAGAAAAAAAAGATGTAGATATTTCATTCTTAAAAATGAAGGTAATTGTTCATGGAATTTAATGACAGTTGAGAAAATCTACTTACGTTGTTATTTAGTGAATTCAAATAAAAATGTCATTATTAGGTTGAGGAATTGGAGCAAGCTCATCTAGTTCCGGTTGATTTTTCAATATCTCAAAGAATTCGAGTTTTGGTTATAACTGGTCCTAATACTGGGGGTAAGACAGTTTGCCTGAAGACCATTGGATTGGCTGCCATGATGGCAAAATCAGGTATGTTTCTAAGAATGGTCTGCTTTTTATTATTATTAGTTTTTTGGTAAATGATGAATTTTTTTTCCATTTATGTAACCAAATCGAATGTATCCTGTAAAGAGCTGTATTAAATTATTGTTATTTTTTTTAACATGATACAAAGTTTTCATTTGATAAATGAAAAATAAGCAAATTGTCATTCTAAGAGATGCCAAGCTGTTATTGGATAAGGAACAATAATTCTTAACTTTAAAAAGTTGATACAAGGGTATAAATAGTAGCTACAAAGAACCTATTATGATAAGTAAACACTTATCTATTAGAACAAGGAAACCCTAACCTATCAAAACCTAAATACAATAGGAAATTAAAAGATAATAAATATAATTTAACACTCCTCTCAAGTTGGTGAATGAATATTCTCCATCCCCAGCTTGTTAACCAAATGCTCAAAGTTATTGTTCAATCCTTTGTATGAATATATGCTATTTGATTATTTGTTGGTACAAATGAAGTACATATGAGGTCGCTATCTAATTTCTCGTTTATAAAGTGTCTATCAACCTAAACATCCTTGGTTCTATCATGTTGGATTATGTGTAATATTGATGGCAGACTTGTTATCACAGTAAAGTTTCATAACCCCTCTCCATGGAATCTTCAAATCTTTATCCAGAGAATTTGCAGATGCCCAATGCCATTGCTCCATATTTCGATTGGTGAATCTTCAAACTTGATGGATCTGAAGAGGTTTCATGAAGTTTGGGCAGATGAAGCGTCTTTGGTTGAAGGTGAGACAGCTTTTAAGAAGAAAGTGAGTAGGGGAAAATGAGCCATTAATTCGGAAACAATTTCCCATACTTCGGAGGAATTTTCGAAAAAGGAAACAACAACCCCAGTAAGTTTTGCGGTAGGTGCGGCTAACCCTAATCTTGTTCTAGATCTTTTACAGAAATTTTCGGAATAGGAAAAGGCAGCCTCGAATTCCACAGCGGTAGGTGAGTGTAGCCCTAATTTTGACCCGGATATATTGTCGAGGAGAAACTTTATTATTCCCCTACCCTTTTTTTATTCTAGAAGGAAATTTTATTCGAAATTTCCCAAGGAAGTGGAAGCCTTAACAAAAGTTGATTTTTTCCATTTGAATTGGAATCTACATTTATTGAGAAGGAAAGAGAAAGTGTTGGTCTTGATTCTCCAAACACAGCTGGTTTAAATCATTCCTTTTTAGCAAAAGATTTTATTGAGGAAAGAGAAGGGACACCGAAGGGTTTTCAAATAAATGCTGTTGCTGATGTTATCCCTTCAAATAAGGAAAGCTCCGAAGGACATCCTTTTAGATCCACCCCTCTCTCTCGGCTCTAATAGGTCAACCAATGAAGAAACAAAGAAAATCCAGGTGGATCCTTATTTTTCGGACGATGAGAATGATTTTAATTCGAGTATAAGCACTAAGCAGTCAAGACTCCACCTTTTTCGAAAGATCATTTGTCATGCCCTGAAGATTTTTTGGATCACTCTTTTGCAGAAGATTTTACTAACCTCTTTGGATTGAACAATGAATCGTTTGACTTTACTCTGATCTAGACCAAGGAAAGGATGTAGATTTGCCTTCAGATGATGAAACCCCAAGTACAGAAAAGGCGATACCAATTCCTCCATATTTTACGGCTGTAGGGATCACTCTCGTCCCCTTTCAAAGTTCTCCTTGATGGTTTGTTCTTCGGAGTTCACAAGCAAGTTTTTGCAGCAGATGTCTTTGATGGAAAGTTTCCTTGGTTCTGTAGTAGGGTTTGAAGTTAGAGTTCCAAAGTAGTTGGTCTTCAATGTTCCAAGGGTTGCTATTCGGTGTTTGCTTTCGTAAGGTTTTATCAGATGATGAATCGAGTTTCTTTATTTGATCATTTCAGTGAGGCATGTTTGCAGGAAATTTTGGCGTATTGCTCAGTGGTTATTCGAGAGATGATATCTTTGTTGTTTTCTTTGGCGGATCAGTTGGTCACTTTGGAGAACGAGTTGGTTTTGGGGGCAACACTTTTTCTTGGAGGGGTGGAAGAAATCAGATTCTTGATTTTTATGGAATTCCTTCTTGCTTTCTTATGCTTTGTCGGTGCTAAGCAAGAAATTCCTTCTTGTTTTGAGTCGGGTGAAACTTTTCTGTTTTGAGGTTGATTCCTCTTTTTTGCTCGTTGTCTCGAGAATCTTTGAAGGAAATTGGAAGTCATCGGAGGATAGTTTCTGTCTAGTCAAGATTAAAGCATCCCTTTCAGATTTTTAGTTTTTCACCCAATTTGTTATGTTGTTTTGGGTGGCCTTTATTGCTCCCGCTTAGTTCTTATTCACTTTAAGTGCTCTCTTTAGGAAGCTTGTCTCTTTTAGATTTCTCTCTCACTCCTTTGGGAGTTTTTATCATTGAACAATTCTGTTCCTTTTCATACATTCAATGAAAAGTTCGTATGTTGTTCATAGAAATAGGAAATTAAAAGATAAGCAATTTTTTTTAAGGAGCAAGCAATATTACATATATAGTGAATGGTAAATGTGAGATATTGAAATATTTGATCCAATATGTTGATATCACTATATTTAGGTCAATTTTATCATTTGTGATACTGGCTTTTTGTAATTATGTTTAAATGACCTTGTTGTCCTTTTCTTCACTTCGTAGGGCTTCATGTTTTGGCTTCAGAATCTGTACAAATCCCTTGGTTTGATTCTGTTTTTGCTGATATCGGTGATGAACAGTCTCTAACCCAATCTTTGTCTACCTTTTCTGGCCATTTGAAAAAAATAAGTGTAAGTAAGATCCTTCACTCATTTCAGATTATTTTATCTCAATAAGCAAGACGGTTGGACAGTCTTCACTCTTTAATTCAGTCATTGACACTAAAAAAATTGCATTATTTATGGTGAAGCCGTTCATTATATCAATGAATGGCCCCTTCTTCTTCTTCTACTGAAACTGAAGTACGGAACACATTATTATTCAGTCTTCACTCTTTAGTTTCGTTTGATAATTGATACCCTGACTATGCCTGCAGTCTCTGTACATAGCATAATCATCAGAGAGATTTGTATTTCTTTATTATGATGAACTTTTTTTGAGTTGATTAGACTGTGAAAGTTCTTAACTACTCGTATCTTGTGGGGGTTAGTGCCTATCTATTATTGCCATTGTTTATCCTGTCTAACACAATATCTCTTGTTTTCTAAGTATATGAATACATATAATCCAACCATCATGGGTTTGCCTAGTGGTCAATAAGAGTCAATGTAAATAGTAAAGGCTAAGAGGAATGAGTTCAAACCATGGTAGTTAGCTACTTACTTAGGATTTAATATCCTACGAGTTTTCTTGGCAACCAAATGTAGTAGGATCAAGCAGTTGTCCTGTGAGATTAGTCGAGGTACACGCAAGATGGCTGAGACACTCACGGATATCGAAAAAGGAAAAAAAAATACATATAATCCATTCTCCTAGGGATGTAAGTGGTCCCTATTCTTAGAAAGGAGTTCCCTTCAGCTTTCAGTCCATAATTCATGCACATTTTACCAACCCTGAAAAATGTGTAGGTTATGTAGTTCAGTTGTTCGGGTAAAAATTGGATACTCCGATGTATCTATTTAGCTTTATTTAATTAATGATGAAAAGTGGAGCATATTAAATATAATCCTTGGTAGTATGAAGAATTTGATTGAACTTGTTTTTCAAGCTCAGAATTTGAGCATATTAAATATAATCCTTGGTAGTATGATGTTATCCCTTCAGAATTTGAGTCCATAGTGTATTGTTTTGCGATAAACTTCATTTTGGGGCTTCATTGTGGTCTTCATCAATCATCATTGAGGAGCATTAAAACTTTGAGCTTACTAGTCTTTTTTGTTTTTTCTTTTAAGCAAGGCATTAAATATATTATATCATCTATAATGGTTATTTCATACTCATTTATTCAGAATATCTGATTTTTTTTAATATGATTACATTTCTTGCATATGACAGGAGATTCAGTCAGTTTCAACTAGTCAGTCGTTGGTACTACTGGATGAAGTAGGTATTTTGCTCAGTTGGGGAACAGAGAAATAACAATCGTCAACTTTTTTTTTAATAGATACAAACAATCATCAACTTAAAGAAAATAAATAATCTTATAAAAAAGGAAAAGAAATAAAAGAACAAATGATTAATGATTGATTCTAGTCTAGTTGTTTTGCATGGTAGGTTGGTGCAGGAACCAATCCTATGGAAGGAGCCGCACTTGGGATGTCACTCCTGGAATCTTTTGCTAAATCTGGTGCTTCATTGACAATCGCAACTACACATCATGGAGAACTGAAAACCCTAAAATATAGGTACAGCATGCAAATTAAATATGGGATTTGAGTGCTGATAATGACAGGATTTGGTAGCTTAATTTTTTGAGCTTCAAAATATAAACCTAGTTTTTATAAAATCAAGGGATTCTTTTGAAATTTTTTACTTTTTATTTAAATTTAAATCATTGAACAAAATAAGGAGAAATAGGAAGTCTTTTCTTTTTCCAGCTCAAAGATCTTTGATTCATGGTTATGAGGTTTTTTTTTACAGCAATGAGGTGTTTGAAAATGCGTGTATGGAATTTGATGAGGTGAACTTAAAGCCAACTTACAAGATTCTTTGGGGAGTACCAGGTTTTCACTATCGAAATATGATTAGCCATTTAACCCTTGGTCACATTTCATCAATCCCAACTTTTTTTATTTACTTTTATTTTTTGTTTTGGATAATCACTTAGCCCAAATACTCTGACTTTCTTTTTTGAGGGGTTCCCAGACAAAGCATCACAAAAGAAAATAAGAAAAAAAGTCAATTGAATGTTATCATAAGTATGAATACCATTTAGGAAAAGAGTCCAGGATAGAAAAATCTTAGAACAGTGTTGCTTTAAAATTTCATGGCAAAACTCCATGGGAATTACTTCCTCTGTCGAGGACAGTTCATGAAAAGGAGATTTCAATGTAAATGCACTTGAACTCTCTTTGACATAAATGACAAGCATTCCCGAGATCCACAGAAGAAAACACGTCCAATATGGAAATGGGGAAAATCTATAGCTGTTTCTCCATTTTTGAAAAGTTCCTCTAAAACCTTTGAGATGTAAGCTATACAAGAGTGCAGAAGAAAATCTTGACCATCATTTTGTTCGTTGTCTTTTCTCTTAGATGTTCGTGGGAGAATTTGTCATTGTCTATTTCTTTGTATGATTTCTTGTATCAGACTATCAGTTGATCTTTTGGTCCATGATTTAGGGAGAAATCAAGGGACATTTGGGAGAGACGAGAATGGTAAATAAGGGGAAGAAAAGGTTGGGGATTTGATAGTGAGGAAATTACAGTTACTAATGTCTAATGGAAGTGGTTTGAATGGTTGGATTTTTCAAGCATAACAGTACTTTATTAATTGTATGATGGATGGAAGTGGAGGTGGAAATCATAATTCTTTGTATGGTGGAAGAAGCGTTGGTTTAGTTTTAATTCCTTTAGAAGATTTGTTTGGTTTAAAGCTGGAAATGGTCAGAAAATTCGTTTTTGGAAGGATAGATGGCTGGCAGACTCTTTTCTAGACCTTCTCTCTACCCTGCTTTATACAATCTCTCCCTTAAGAAAGATGCTGATTGTTGGGTGGACAAGAACTTTGACTGGAATGTGGTATTTAGAAGAGGTTTTTGGGATAATGAAGTGGATAGTCTACTCTCTTTGATGAACCTACTGAATGCTTTTAGATCGACCAGAGGGGTTGACAAAATCTTATGTGTAGAAAATCGAGTTGAAGTTGAACCAATTAAGCTAGAAATTAGGAAGTTAGCAAAGATGTGTTGACCCAATTCATCTAGAAATTAGGAAGTTAGCTAAGATTTTTTAAACTAAATTACTTCTTTTTAGTTCATATGGTTAGAGCCCCAGGTATAAATATGGGTGTTACTCACCACTTTAAAGAATTAGAAAAAAATCTTTCTCCTATACTATACAAAGCTTCATGATATCAGAGGTCTGATATTTTTTTTCTTCTCAAACCTTAAAACTGTGATGATGTTACGCCCTTCATTGAGAACAGCCATACTCAGGTAACATGTCACAACCAATGGTCCCAATCTGTGATGATGTTATGCATGGTCGTGGGCGAGAAGACCATATCACAGGCAAAGCAGTTTCAACCAAGGCCGATGATCCAAAATTTCGCACATGGAGGGCCGAAAACAACCAAGTAATGAGTTGGTTAATCAACTCCATGACCACCGAGATTGGGGAGAACTTTATTCTATTTTCAACAGTCAAAGAAATTAGGGATGCAGCTCGGGACACATGTTCCCATAAGGACAACACTGTTGAACTTTTCCAGATAGAGATGACTCTCCAGGATCTGAAACAAGGTGACTCGTTTGATACACTTTATTATACCACTTTAACTCGTCATTAGCAACCGTTGGATCTGTTTGACACTCATGATTGGAAATGTTTTGCTGATGGTGCTCTCTTCCGAGAAATTGTGGAGAGGATTTTAATACATCTCTTGACGAAGTTCATGGTCGAATCCTTGGTTCTACACCACTTCCCAGTCTTCGAGAAGTTTTTTCTGCAGTCCGTCGAGAAGAAAGTCGAAAACAAATAATGTTGGGACCTACTGAACATTCTCCTGCTCAATAAAAAGAGTCAGTTTTTTTGATGCGAAATTTGTCAACTCTCTAAACGCACACTTGCTCATTTTTCACCTCATCCTTATTCTCCATCCTAACCTTTCTCTCTTATTCATGGAGACATTTGGGGACCTTCAAGAGTAAAAAATATCAATGGGGCACGTTGATTTCTTCTCTTTGTTGATGATCACACCCGGTTGAGTTGGACATTCCTTATGAAAGATAAATCTAAAACTAGCCACCTATTGCACAGTCTTTCATAAAATGATCCAAAATCAGTTTCAAGTTATTATCAAAGTTCTTAAAACTGACAATGCTCGTGATTTTTTCAACTCTACTCTTGATTCCTACCTTCAATCTCATGGTATTGTTCACCAGAGCTTTTGTGTTGACACACCCTAACAAAATGGTGGAGTTGAACGCAAAGATCGTCATCTTCTCGATGTAGCCCGATCTCTCATGCTCACATCACACGTTCCAAAAACTTTTTGGAGTGAAGTTGTTCTAACTGCTACCTATCTCATAAATCGGCTGTCGTCCTGCATTCTCAAATTCAAGACACCTTTACAAAGTCTACTTATACTCTATCCTACCTATCATCTTGTGTCTTCACTACCACTAAAACTATTTGGATATACTACTTTTGTTCACATATATCCTCAGCATCGTTGTAAACTTCATGCACGTTTGATGAAATGTATCTTTATTGGATACTTACCAAACAAGAAAGGATACAAATGTTATCATCCCCTAACACACCAATTCTTTCATATCATGGGGAGCATTATGATCTTGAACCACATAATTGGAATTGCAATCCTGCCTTTCTGACCTTCCTTTCAACCCATTTTCCAAAAATCCTAACCCATCTCCTGAAAGTCCTCCCGTATCCTCGTTTGAGCCAAATCCCATATCCATCCCTGAGCCTGAAATGCAAGTTAATTTGCAAAGAGTGATGATTTGGACAGACCAGAATCCCAGTGTTTCTGAGATAGTACACGAGACGACAAGTGATGATTTGGACAGACCCATTGCTCTACGAAAAGGTGTTCATTCATGTACTCAACATCTTAGGGTATTTCCCTTTCCAGATTTTGTTGCAGAGAGTCTGTGTCTGTTGGTTTTCTGCGGAGGTCAGAAAGGTGGAAAATGGATTTTGTGGTGAAAGCTTTAGACGAGTCAAGGGGCCAAATCCATTTGTCCATTGGTGGGAGAGGTATCAGCTTGTTAAGCTTGATATACAGGAGCATCAGCATCCATTTTTCAACTTCAGAGTCTTCAAGGGGTCTATGGAAGCAATAATCCCATGAGTTGGTGTCCTTGGACCAAAGGTCTGCTATTTTGGCAACTTTGTCCATAGAGATGGCAAATAGGCTGGGATAGAGAGATGCCAATGATTTTGTTTCAAGCCATTATCTTTCCAGAAGCTGACCACACTGTTTTCTCCGGCATGGCAGATTGCATTGGATTTAATTAGGTGGGTGTGTGTTAGAATAGCACGCCAGGGACCCCTGTAAGAACTGTAGCTATTGTTAGGCCATGTTTCTGTTATCGGTCCGCCATATTTTGCATTGATGAAGAGCCTCCAGAGTTGGTTGCTTTCTGTAATGTTCCTCCAGATCCATTTTGATAGTAAAGCCATGTTTCTGTGCTGCCAATGCCCAAACCACCTTCAGAAGTAGGGAGCTTTTATTTCTTCCAATTAAGAAGATGCTGTCCACCTGAGGTGCCTGCCGCTTCCTAAAAAAGTCACGAATAATCTTCTCAATTTTCTTTGCAGCCATACCTGAAATTTGGGAAATGGATAAGTAGTAAATAGGTATTAATGAGCCACTACACTTAAAAAGGGGATTGAGCATCTGGATTTGGAATTGGAAAAGCTGCACAAAGAGATGGTTTCTTTTGTAGAAGCTCAGGCTAGAAGAAACTTTGAGCTACAAACCAAATTCAAGCAGGAGCTAGCAGAAGCATATGTTAAAATTTTCAGAAGGTACAAAGCCTTGGGCCTTGATGATCAATCAAAGTTAAAGATGATTGAAGATGGTTTTCTGTAGGTTGGAGGTTTCTGTTGAATATTCGAAGCTCTAGAACCTTGTCATGTTGTTGATTGGATCTTCTTTGCTGGTGACAATTCCCATATTATTCCAGTAAATAAGAATTTTAACGCGTGGTTTTGTCAAGATTATAGTTGCTTTGTTCATCAATGTTTTATTCTATTGTATCTTTTGGAATTTTTTTATTTATTGGGAGTTTGTATCCTTGACCATTTTCTTCCACCTCATATATCAATGAAAAGTTTGTTTCTGGTTGAGGAAAAAAAACCCAAAAAGAACACAATATCATTCCAGAAATCATCATATGATTTCTCCTCATCTTTGAATACTCTTCTACCTTTCTATCCGCACTATATAGCCACATAAAAAAAGTTGTGCACACATCGAACCAAAGAATTTTCTTACACTAAAAGGCCATTGTGACCAACAAACAGCTAAAAGGCCATTGTCTTTGCTAAACTGCTCTGAACCCAGCTTAAACCAAAGGCGTCTGGCAACTTGAACCACAGGGAGGCAATATGACAAAAATAGAACAAGTGATTCACGTCCTCCAAGCAAGCACATAGGGCACCAACTCAGGCTAAGGGCTATAAGGGGATTGTATCTCTATACTTCATCCATAGTATTGGGGTCTCTGATGCTCCGAGAATCATATTCCAGATGCAATGCTGTAAACTCAATCCACTCATTAACCTCTCTGTTAATGAGAGGTCTTCTAAGGGCAGAATCCCACGAAGTGTTTATTATCATGTTCAAAGTGTCAGTTCATGCATGTGAAAAATGATTTGCTTGTTTCAGTTGAGGTGCCTGCTTTTTTTAGTATACCAATTGGTTGTGTCTTAGATTCTACAACGGTTTTTCCTTTCAGTAAACCTAATACCATAAAGGGGGCGAAATTATGTTGTAGGGCGTTCAAATGCTATTAATATAGCTGAAAGGTTAGGGTTGCCTGGTACTGTTGTAGATGATGCTCGGGAGCATTATGGTGCAGCAAGTGCACAGATAGATGAGGTAGACTGCACCATCATTGCAAATTTTGTACTCAACATTTTATTAATGCACTTTTATTTGTACATCATCATGAAAGAAAAGTTCATGGGAGAGTATCATTGTCGATTACTTTATTATAATTTATCATTTCAATAAATTCTTATGTTCAATACATATTGAAGATTCAATTTTTATTCTTTCTTTATTTTGCAAAAGTGAAAGATAGTGGTCACTTCTCCGGTTTGCAGCAGCAGATATTGAACATTAATTGCTTATACACTAATTATTGCTTCTGAAGCATATATTTAGCTAATTCTTACAGTTTTATGTACATTTTAAATGCAGGTCATAATCGATATGGAATGTATCAAGAAAAATTATGAGGAGCTCTTACAAGAAGCTCAAGATCACTTGATGTAAGTCTCTTAGGACGTAATAATATACCTGATGCACATAATTGTTGCAGTAGCTGTGACAATTTCACAGTTCTGTAGTTTCAGAAAGAAACTAAGGTCTCAACTCATTTACTTTTTTATCATTGCTGTTATTAACAGTTTATTCTATTGCTTTATTATTTATGAATATTACGGGTAAATATTAATAGTGTTGGTTTTGTATATTTTAGATAATTATTGTAATTCTTTCCTTTTTATATAGTTCATAGTCTCCTTTATTATATGTAATTAGGAGTTTATCTTTTTAGTTTCCTTGTTAAGGAAAGTTTCTCACCTCTATTTAAAGGTGTTGTAGGGTTTTATTTTTAATAAGAAAAACGTTTTTATATTTTCTTCTAAAAGTGACTAATAGTTATTTTATTCTTATTTCCTTTTTGGTATTGAGCCATTCTTCTATATAAGAATAGAAAGTTATGTATTTCTTACCTCATATTTTTTGGAATACAAATTTTTATTCCATCTAAATCAAGTTAGTATCAGAGCTAAGGTTTTTATTAAAACCCTAGCCACTATGAACTCAACAGCCGCTGCCGTCTTCCCCATTGGGACTCTAGCTGCCATCCTCGAACGGTGCACTCTACTTGCGGCAGGTCCTTTTTAGGAAAGGTAAAACGGTTGGAGAAAATTTTGAGAGGGATAAACTTGAATTGTCTTTTCTAATAGAGTCAGGAAAATTTTTAGTACTACTGCAGTATATACTCCTTCCAATCAAGTAGGTCGCATGACTGACAACTGGACAATTGATTTAACTTCATTTGTGGAACCGAGTAGTCATTAGTATCTGATTCTCTTTCTTTACGGAAGGTATAAACTTGTACGAAAGCATCTTTGATGTCTTTAATACTCTTGGGTAGTGGAGAGGTATCAAGAATTTCTGGCGGCTTTAAATTGGATTTTGAAGAGAAATCATGCAAACTACCAGCATTTGTTGCTTCTTCATAACTTGATGCTTCGTTTAAGGTTTTAATCACATTCTCCTAGAGGCTGCTGATGTAAATCAGAGAGAATCAACTTCTTGTTATTTAATGCACTCTCGACTTCTGCTACTTTGGTTTAATTCCTCTTCATTTTCTTCTTGAAAATTCCTCATTCAAATGCTTTCCTTTTAAAAGTCGTGCTGTCTTTAATTTTTCTTCTTTAGCCTCTTCATTTACCCTGCTTATCTGCTCATTAATGGGTACATCTGTCACTGCCATCCAATGAGAGGAAAACCCTTCGGTTTTCTTACCCTTCGCCATGTGGTCCAACGGACATGAGAAATCTTCAGATCCTTCATTAATACAAACCCCTCTGGTCTTTCCAAACCATCAATATAAGAAGCCAAATTTGGAGGGAGGGACTTTTCATCTTTTGCCACTTGACGAGAATTGAGTCGGTTGAATACATTCAAGGTGCTTCAAAAAATGCTTATCAACCTTCCAACCTGACTTCCTAAGGCCAGAAAATACTGTTTGTTCCACTATTTGAGAGGAAGATGAAGTATTCTTATCTAGCTACCATAGTTCACCACAACATCTTTTCTATTGTGTTTGTCAAAATCCTAATTCTCGATTTTCAGGTGAAAGTTCCCAAATATTTTCCACTTTCCGTTTTGAACAAATTGACTTAGTATACTCCCATCTTCGCATTTTAAAAGGGCTTTATCATCCATGAAGGGATTAATAACATAGTTTTGAGAAAACTTATTCTTTAAAAGCAGCAGCACTTCCTTTCCAGCTATCATGAGCATTCATTCTTGGGAGTTGTGACTACCATCATATTTTTCCAATCTGATATTAAGACATCAGCCTCTTTTTTGACCCAGAAAGAGTTCTCATTTCAAAGACATCAGCCTTTGGCGCTACCTTTGCTGCAGGGGTTGGCATCTTTCTATTTCCTTTCTTAACGGCCTATACATAGGAAAATTTAGAGTCCTCTGTTGGTAGCAATCGGGCCTTTGAAAGCTTTCTGTTTTTCTCTAGCAAGCTCTCTTCTTCAGATCTGGACATACACACCTTTATAATATCCTAAAAAACTAACCAACCTTCCTTATTGCTCCCCATGGGAATAAGAATTCTCTTTCCTCCACCTGTGATAGGCCACACCACGCATTCTACTTGGTAGCTATACTGAAATTTTGATTTCTGGATTTGACAAGTGCCCCATGAATTTTTAGTTTGTCTGAAAAAATTGATTAAGTAGTTGTATCATTTCCTACAGGAGTTTGTATCTTTTGAACTCTTTTGTAATTTTTCATTTAAAAAATGGTATCATTTCCACTAATGTTTCAGCAAACCATATTAAATGGGACTTTTGAAGAGGCAAAATAGCTCCAGCAGACATGTCGTCAACAAAGAAGCAACCATTTTCTTCCTAAATGCAAAAATTCTTGCTATCCACCCAGCCACTATTAATTTCCTCTGCGTTACTAATAAGACAAGAGACCAATCTTGTGACTGAAGAATGAAAATCAACTCTGAAAGAATGAACTTGATTGTGGCAAAGAACCAACTCTGATCTAAAAACAAATTTAATTTTTGGTGCGATCTTGAAGAATTCAGTCTAACGAACTGGTAACCTAAGAGAGGAGAGAGAATAGAGTATACTTACGTCTGGTTCCTCCTACTTATGTATCCCAAATTCTACATTACCTCTGGTTCCTCCCATTTTTGTTTCTTGCCAATATATAACAGCTTTATTTTGTATTTTCCTCATTTCAATAGTCGATGTTCTTGAACTTGTGCATTCATCATATTTAATCTGTTCGTGTTTGTAATCATAGGTACTCAAAAAATCTTTATGAAAAGATGTTGCTTGCTAGAAAAAAGATTATTAAACATGCCAGAGAACAGAGGCTTATAAAAGTGCAAGAGGTATCTAAGGCTGCAGCAACAGCTCGTTCTAATCTTCACAAAAAAGTACGAGAACTGCGTGCATCTGCAATTGAATCCTCCCCGCCCACTGCCATTCGTAGTAGGCAACGTGTAGGAATGAGCTCTAATAAGCTAGCTACAGATGGCAAAAAGAACCTAACGGCATTATATTCGCGTATTTCTTCAACTGGTCACATCAGTCAACCACGATCAGGTTTGTCATTGAGATTATCTCCTGTAATTTTATCTGTATGTGTCTCGGAGACTTGCAGAAGACTCAAATTTGTCTTCCTAATAAAAGCTCGTTTTGATAATTTTGTTGTCAGTTTTTATGTGTTAAAATGAATCATCGATCTTCCATTAAGTGAGGTTTTTTTCGCCTTATCTTTGTGAGTTTTGTCCTTGGACATTACAGGGAAGCTTGAGTTTCCCACTGTTGGTGATACTGTGTACGTTTCTTCCCTTGGAAAAGAAGCGACAGTTTTAAGCGTAGAGCCATCAAAAGACGAAATGGTTGTTCAAGTTGGTAGCATCAAGTTGAAGCTGAAGTTCACTGACATGAGATAATCATCCAGGAGCCATGCACATATCTACGGTATACGTTAATCTGTGAATTTAACCGACGTACTATCTCTGTTCTCTTTGCTATTCATGATAGGAATTATTTACCCGGAAGATTGATGCGTAAAAACATTACTGTAGACCAAATTATTTGAGTGATTCTATGTGGGAAAATACAATCCAAATATTATTCCTGTACAATGTAAACTCAGAGGTCATCTTTGAAAGATGTATAAACAGAAACGTGCAGTATTGTGCTGGTTTCAACTTTTTATTATTCTTTCTTAGATCTTCGGATGCTATTCTAACCTGAACATAGTTCAACTATTAAAACATATATTCTCGACCAAAAGGTCGTGAGTTCAAACTTCAAATTGTACTTAAAAAAACAATCAGATGTATGGTTGAATCCTCCCCACCCACTGGATATAGTATATATATATATATATATATATATATATATGTATATTATTATTATTATTATTTTTTTTTTTTTTTGTGGTAGTGACATACATCCACTCTGCCTTTCTCTTGTAGCCAAGTTGGGTTTGTTACAGAATGTGCTGGAATATCTTTTTCTCGGAAAAACAAATTCAAAATGGAATGCTTTTACTTCCTCTAGAAAAGGGGCACTGTCAGTTTCATTTTAGGAAAGAGAGAAAAAGCACTAACTAGTGGAAAACTTATTTCCCGATTTCCTCTTCCTCGTCCCTTGGACGGAGGTAATCCAGATTCTCATCAGCCCAACGGAATCAAAAGTGAACATGAAAAGTAAAGCATAAAAACAAGGAGAAAGAAAGATGAAAACATAGGAATTATTAAACATGAACGTATTGGGTATGTTGATATTATTCTAGTATTTTCTCTATTTTGTTGTTTTCTATTAAAATAAGCTGAGCTGGAGCTTGCCTCACTTGTATAAATACTCTTAAAATTATTCTTAATAAAAATTTAGAGTTTAATTTAGTTGAGATTGCAAAATTGTCGTGGTAGCAGAGAATCTTGACAAGCATCTCTGTATCGTATACTGGTGATTCTGAAAATTCTTCAACATCTTCTTTAGATCCCACGATTAATTCTTCAATTGTTCTTCTCGAACATTTGTAATCGGATAACTGTTCGTCTGAATTCTACAAATTATGTTTAGTAAAACTTTCAGATCTCGCCAATTTTAAAGGCACGCAAACCTTTTAGCTACATTGATAGATCAATTCCTGCCCCTTGTTCACCTGCTACTTCTGCCTGTTCTTCGCAGTCCAATTCAGCCTCTACTGACTAGTTTGAAAAGAATCGAGCGCTTATTACTTTTCTAAATGCAACTCTATCTTCTACTACTCTGATCTATGTTATTGGATATACTATATCCAGTGATGTGTGGCTTACGCTTACATTTTTCGTCATCTAATAGCACTCATATTGTTGGTCTCAAGTCTGTAATATAGCACTCATATTGTTGGGCTCAAGTCTGAATTACAGACTTTCAAAGAAATCTACGGAATTGATCGACGTCTATATTCATAGAATCAAGGATTTGGTAACAAACTTGCTGGATTTCAGTTGTTATTGACTATGAAGATTTGGTCATTTATGCCCTTGAATGGTCTACTATCAACTTACAATGTATTTAAGACGTCAATTCATACTCGTTCACAAAGTTCTTTTTTCAAGGATCTTTATCTTCGGTTAGAATCTGAAAAGCATGCGATTGACGATCAATCTAAGGCTGATGATCTGAACTCTAACAATCCAGCTCTTGCTATGCTTGCAAGGTTTGCTAATTATGGTCGTTGTACCGCTTGTTCTCGAAATGTCAGTAGTCGTGGTCACATTCAGTCGTTGTTCTTCGAATTCCACTTTAATTTTTCGAGCCTTAATTTCAGTGGACCTTGTTAGACACAACCTAAATCTTATTCTTCTTTCACGTCCAATCATGTTAATTGTCAAATTTGTCAACGATTCAGCCAAAATGCTTTGGATTGTTATTACCGGATGAATCAAGAATTTCATGCCCATTTTGCTACCCTTGCGACTTCGTCAACTAGTAAATCTTTGGTCAACTCAGCAGCTTCTCCTTCTGATGCGCAAATCTAGTTGTCTGGCTTGGGATGTAATGTTCATCTTACTTTGGATTAGTCAATCTCACTGCTTCAACAGAGTATAATGGTGAATCGCAGGTTGCGGTAGGTAACAGACAGTCTTTGCCTATTACTCACTCAGGTTGTACACTACTCTTTCTACTTGTTTTTCTTTTTTTATTCTTTCCAATCTTCTTTCGGTTCATCAATTTTGTGTTGATAATAACTGCTTTCATTTGTTTAGGCCCATTCCTTTACTATTCATGACAAGACATCGGGTCGATAAAAAAAAAACTAATTAAGCTACCATAAAAGTTTCATTCGCTAATTTCAACAATTTCCATCAATTTTTAATAATTTCCGTGATTTTTCTCGAAATATTTATCGACATCGGCATTTCCATTAACATTTTTGTAAAATCGAGACCTCGACATTTCATCGACATCGATATTTCAAAAACATTAGTCTTTATCCACTAAAAAACTATCCTATTTTTTGCAATTACCCTGTCCTGAATCCCTAGTTGTACTAAAAAAAAATTTATTCCTTTGATGGTGTTTATAGAATTGTCGGAATGGAATCGACTAGCGGGACACACCTCAAATTTTGTAATCGTGGACCTCACACCTTTATAATTATTACTTTACAACTTTGATTTTTTCTCATTCGTGGTTACTTTTTAATCAATTATTTTATATTTTTTATTATTTATTTTATTTATACTACTAATACTTTTTCTTTTCAATTATTTTATATTTTTATTATTTATTTTTATTTATACTTCTAATAAAAATGATGTGATTTTATTATAAAGTATTTCAAAATTCTAATTAATTTTTAGTTAATTCATTTTACTTTGTTATTATTAATTAATATCAATACGTTTTTTAAAATAGAAATTCTCATTTAAAAAATAAGAGAATTTCTAAATAATAATATTTTATATTAAATCGTGATTGTTCTAATAAAAATTTATTTTAGTTGCTGTAATTTTATTTTTAATTATTTATTATTTTGTCAATATTAAATAAATTGTTTTGATAAAAATAGTAAAAAATATATTTTTGGTTCCTGAGGTTTGGAGTAGATGTTAATTTTGTCTCTAAAGTTATAAAATGAATATTTTTTGTTCTTGAAGTTAGTGTCGATTTGGTCTCTTAAATTTCAAAACAAGCACTTTTAGTCTTAAAGTTTGAAAATTTGTTCTAAATGGTGTCTCTATGCATATTCTTTGACCCGTAGTTAACGGAAAAAATGACGTGAACTTTTCTAATTTGCAAGAGAGGGAACTCCATCTTTGAATTTGGAGATAAATTTTTATTTAGTCGTTAAATTTCAAAATTTGATTGTTTGATCTCAAACCTTTATAAAATGATTTAAAATATTCCCTCAACGCATTTGAACTTTTTTACTAACAGATATATAACATTAGTGTTTCTATTTTGCTGACTTGGCAAAAGTATTAATGTTTTAGTGATTAGGCGATGAGGAGGCATTTCCCTTTTCTCTTTCCTTCTCTCCTATCTTTCGTTCCCCCTTCTTTCTCCTTCTCTAGCAAAATTAGCTAGCGTCGTTCTCCCCCTTCCTTCTTGTTGCCTGACACTTCGTCTCAAAACCTCCATTATTAAACTGGAACGTTTAGAGGGGGCAGTGTGTGGCGACATAGGGGACCATACGGGCACCTCCCACCAACGCAATGCGCGAGGAGGCATGTGACTTGTGAGGATAGGATGGCCTTCGTGATGGTGGTGCCGACAAGAGCATCAACATTGACAGCGGCGGACTCAATTGAAGGGGAAAGAGAATCGGAGAAATTCGGCAAAAAGGGAAGCATAGGAAGAAGTGGAGAAGGTGAAGATGGTTTCAGATGGGAAACGAAAGGGATTTGGATGGCAAAATTAGGAATCCCTCAATTTTGAATATTGCTAGAGGAAACAGCTAAAGAAACAGAGAAGAGAGGGAATTAGGTTACGGTGTGTTGATGCAAAAAAACTGTCGAGGCTCGGATGCTGAGCTGGCAGGTCAGCCGTGGGGCTGATGAGTAGGTCGGTCGGTGTTCTTGGATATATCTCGAGGGTACTTCTAGGGAGGCAACCACTCCGACGTCCAAGTTAGTATAAGTCCGAGGTAAACAGTTCATTATCAGATAGATTTTGTACCTAAGTCAGCGGTAGAGTGGTGTATTTATAGCGTTTGTTGGTGTAGGAGAATGTCCCATCTGGATAATTCAGGATTCCAAGCTGGGCCTACCCTTGTGACCTTCGGTCCAAAGGATGGACTGGTCTGTCCTCTATTCCGAGCAGGTGATGCAGGTTACCAGAGGACATACCCAAGTAGCTCCGACCAACCTGCCAGGTCGGCCTAGGTCAAAACGGGCCTCATGGGTCGGGCTCTGCTATTTTCCCCAAACACGGTGATTCGATAGGTACCTCTCGCGCATTGGCTCGGTGGGAGGTACCTCCTCCTAATCCCTAAGTCCTAAGTCGTAATCATATTGTATCTCGTCGTTCTTCCATGGGCGGCGACAACAAGGAAGGAGGAAAATGGCACCGACGAAGTTTATAGGAGAAGGACAATGAAGGAAGGGAAGGGGGAACGAAAGAGATGAAGGAGATACCACCTCATCATCTAATCACAAAAAGATATATTAAATTATTTTATTTGCAACTTAACCACCACGTCATTTAATTAACTAACGGGTCAATTGAGTTTAATCCTTATAAATATTTTCTAAAGATTATAAATTAAAGTGTCACTTTTGAAACTGGGTACCCAATAAAAATTTATTTTCAAACTCATAACTAAAAATGTATTTTACCCTTTTTTTGCTACTTTATTAGTATTTTTGTTCTATTGATAAAAAAATAAATTAAATTAAATTGAAATTTTCCTATTTTTATTTTTAAAATCAAGAAAACCAAAACAAAATCTAGAAAAATGGACGAAAAATACAACTTTCGAATTTCTTCACTTCTGTATATTTTTATTCACACAATTAAGTAATCTAGAAAAATGGACGAAAAATGCAACTTTCAAATTTCTTCACTTGTGTATATTCTTACTTGCACAATTACGACGAATTTGAAAATAAAGTTTAACGTGTTATTTATAAAATCAAAATATAGAAGAGTAAATGACTTCAATCTTACTCTAGCCCACATCTCAACAAATTGGGAGTGAGTATCTAATTTTCACTTTACTTCTGTAGTTTGTTTGTTAGACTTTTATTCTTGAAAAAAAAAATAATAAGTAACCTCTATTTCTTTTGGCCTTAAGTTCTCTTTTTTCTTTTTTATTTAGTATAAAAGTACAGGGGTAAAATATTTGAATTTCGGAAATATCATTGTATCTTTGAACCTTCTACTCATTTTACCTTTTCTTTTATTTCCAATTTTAATTTATTAAGACTATACAAAGGATTTTATGGATAATGTTGAAAATTTTTAATTTATTTTAACGGTCTCTTCTGAAACAAAGTTTTCATTAAAAAGCAAAAAAGTTGAGCAAATCCCTTCCCACTCCAACGACTAACAACGTCAACCCCATCATCACGGACTACGAAGTCTCCTCTCTCCTCTCTATAAATAAGCTTACCCCGCCCCTCGTTTCTTTCGTTCTATTACATTTT